GTTATTTTGTTGGATGTATAGTTGTTGAACATATTTGAACTTATGTGGTTTAATTATTGATTAATGAAAATGGGAAGTATTACCTTATAATTGTTATGAGTTGCTATTCTAGATTATGAAACACAAATAAGTAATGGATTCCTCAAATATTATTCCTAAATAGTTATTTGATTATAACATATGTGACATAAGCCGCTTCACCCATCAAAATAATATGTAACGATTTCATCATCACTTAGTGTAATTATATAATTCTGGGATCATATTGAGTGACCCAAAAAGCATCACTTATAAGTCTGATATGAGACGAAAAACATAGGTCACTGAATTTTGTATTTTGTGACGCTAATTTCGTCACATGTTAGAATAATAAGTGACGGAAGAAGCATCACGTAAAAGGAAAATATGTGACGACTCCAATATTCGTCACATAAACTATCGGTGACGTTGTATAAGTGACGCCAATTGTGACGCTAAAATTTCGTCACATATAGTCAAATGTGATGATTTTTCATATTTATGTGACGAATGTTGGTCGTCACAAAAGCCAAGTTTTCTTGTAGTGGGTGGGCTGAGCAATTTTTGTCTGTAGCTGGGAATAAGGTCTTAATTAAAAGCATAGTGGCTGTTTTGCCTAATTATACAATGTCGTGTTTTCAATTACCAATTCAGTTGGCAAAGGAAATTGAGCAGGTCATTGCTCGATTTTGGTGGAGAAACCAGAAGACTAAGAAGGGTATTCATTAGATAGCATGGAATAGAGTAGCTAAAAAGAAGTCCTTAGGGGGGTTTAGGGTTCAAGGAAATCATTGCGTTTAACGTGGCAATGCTTGCAAAGGTAGGTTGGAGGATAATTTTTAAACCGGATTCTTTACTTACTAAAGTGTTGAAGGTGAAGTATTTTCCTTCTTCTACTTTTCTGGATGCGGCGGTGGGTAGAGGAACATCGTGGGGATGGAAGGTGATAGGAGCATATTTATGCGCCTTAGTTAGCTAGTTCTTATGCATTTCCATGGTGTTTTCTTAGTTAACGTAGTCTTTTAAGCTAGTTTTATGTGTTTTCAGGTTTTAGAGACAAAGTATGCAAGGAAGTGCAAAATGGAGCATAATTGAGCTAAAATGGCGTTTTTACTTATGGAGCACAAGGAATGGACGAGTTGAAGGTCAAAGGGAGCTTAAGAAATGAAGAAATAAAAGTGAAGAACAAAGAATTCAGAATTAGAACCAAAGTTTCTAAAGTTGGAAGTTTCTATTCTTGGAGGTTTCCATTTGTGAGAGTTTCTATTCTTGGCTTTGGGCTTCTAGATGACCCATCCTTACATTCTTAGACATTGCCGCACCATAGGCCCATCTCTAAACCCTAACCCTAGCCGCACCTTAGGCCTTATTCCCACTAAAAATCTGATTGTTTTAACCTAATTTCTGGTGGATTTGGGCTTCCCTAATCTGATTACCCTAGGGTTTTGGATGCCTATATATACTCATTATAACTCCTAGATCAGATCACCACCTCTCATACACAATCATTCACGCCAGAAATCTGCCCTTGCATTCTGCCGCACCTTCCCATCACCAAAGTCCCAAAATTCTGCCCAAAAATCATCCCTAGCCGTACCCCCATCAACCCTAAACCTTTCCCTACCATTCCCCATCCATTCTACACCCTAAATACCACCCAAAACCTGTTCTAAACTTCTCTGCCGCAACAAGGAGGAAAGGGAAATCATTGATGATCTTGCTGCCAAGTTGGAGTCTTCTAGGTGTTTTCTTTCTTTGGGTTTTAATTTCTAAATTTATGTATCTTTGCTTTGCGAGTATGAGGAACTAAACCCCTCTTAGTTAGGGGGTGATTCGAAACCATGTACATGCTTGCAATATGATTTGATTACATTCAGTTGTTATTTCATAAGTTGTGGATTCAATTCGTTCATCTATTTGATTGATAACTTATTTGTGTATGTTGATTGAGAGTGCACGCTTAGTTTTCATGCATGAATATGATGCTAGATTATGAGGGAGTTTCACCTAATAGTTACAATCTTATAATCACAAGTAGTGAAGGTCGCTTGAAAACGATCGCGTTGAATGAATTCTTGGCATAAGTTTCATGCAATTCATAGTAACGAATGCTTCGTCAATACTTATGTTTTTCATAGAACTTAATGATTCTTGCTTGTATCTCTATTATGCAATTCATGTAGGGAACTCGTAGGGAATGCTTTGGGTTGTCGTATGCAATCATCCAACTCAATAACTCGTGGAAAAACTGAGGGTTAATTAGTGCAATTCACGGTTAATTTGGGGCGTTGAGTATTCATAATTTATTGGAAGAACAACTGAAAATCGTTTTGTTTGCAAGTGTGACATGTGTGGAGAAGAACCTCCTAACTAGCCTTTTATCCATCCTTTTCATCCAAAAACGTTTTACAATCTGTTTAGTTTTAAGTTTCTGTTTTGTTTTCAATTTTCGTCCAAAACAAATCCCCCTTTATTTTGAAGTCTTAGATTAGTTAGAAAGTGTTTTGATTTGTGTTTCTAAGTGTTTTGATTCAAGTTTTCACCCAAATTCGTCCAAGTTCTTGTTAGGTTCTCAAAACTGCCCAGAAAGTGGTTTTAGGCAGTTTTGAGTCATTAGGTTGCTGTTTTGAGTTTTATGTTTGTTTAAGTGTTTTAACCTTTAGTTTTGCATTCTTTGAGTCTAGTTTAGTGTTTTAAACTTTGTTTTTGAGTTTTTAAGTCAGTTTCCAAGTGTTTAGCAATCCCTCATAATCCCCGGTTTAGAACGATCCCTACTTACATCTTTGCTACAATTTGACAAAAAGAAGGTTTAATTTGTGTGCTTATCTATTTCGCATCAGAAGGGCATATTGCAAGGTAGGAAAGTTTTAAAAGCTGGTCTTAGGTGGAGAGTTGGGGATGACAGAAGTGTTAAGGTGTTATCAGATCCTTGTTTGCCTACTTCGAGAACGTTTAAGCCTCTATCAAGACATGTTCACATGCCTACAATGGTTTCGGAGTTTGTGGCTTAAGGGGGGATATGGAGGATGAAGCTGGTGGAACAGTGTTTTAATTCAGATGAGGCTCGATTGATTTTATATATGCTGCTAAGTTAGTTTGGTTGTGATGATCGTCTTATTTGGCATTATACTCGAAATGGGATTTACTCGGTGGAGTCTGGGTATTTAGTTGCTCAAGAAATATCTATGAATGGGGAGCTTGGGCGTGGGGTATTGGTCAATCGAGCAGTGATACTATTTAGGATGCTACATGGAATGAAGTATGGCGTTTGAGGATTCCACCTAAGCTGCGTCATTTTATTTGGAAGGGATGTCGAAATGTCTTAGCAGTTCGCTCTAACTTAAAGAAACAGGGTATTCGACTAGAGAATTGTTGTCCTTTATGTGACAAGGAGGAGGACACACTAGTTCATTTGTTTTTTCGATGTTCGTTTACATGTGTGCTTTGGTTCGGTTCTCCATTGCAGTTAGACGTAGGGATGGGTGGAGGGTGCTGACTTTATGCAGTGTTGGAAAGGTTTATGCACTAGATATGGTGAGGAGAAGGAGTCGAACCAGTTGGTACGATGGGTAGTATGTGGACTATGGAGGATATGGAAATGTCGTAATAGTGTAGTCTTTGACAAGGCAACGTGTGACCCACGTGCTGCTTTGGATTTATTGCATCTGCATTGGGGGGAGATAACGAAGAGTCAGGAGGTTACTGATATGTGAAGGTGTAGGCAGCAGGTTCGTATGGATGTGGCGCAGCAAAGGTGGGTTAAGCCTCCTTTTCGAACTATTAAGGTTAATTGTGATGGGGCTTGGTGTAAGCAAACGAATAAGGGTGGTATTGGATGGGTTGCAAGGGATTTTGCTGGCATTTTTCAATGTGCAGGAGGTATGGGAGACTTATTGTGTGGTTCTAGTTTGATGGTGGAAGCATAAACGATGAGATTGGCTTTGAGGGCTTGTGTGGAAAAGGGATTTGAGCGTGTTCAGTTGGAGACAGATTCGAAGGTTTTGGTGAAGATGTTGAATGGTGTCTTGGTTTCGGAGGCATCAATGGAGGGTATTCTATGGGATATTCTTCATCTTCGACAACAAGTGTGTTCTGTTGAGTTTTTGTTTTCTCTCATGCCTGTAATGAGGTTGCGCATCATGTGGCTTCTTTTGCCATGCATATGGGGGGCAACAATTGTGGATTGGCTTTGAGCCGGACTGGTTGTTCAATATTCTGGCGTCGGATGTAAACATTCCAATTTATCTTTAATAATATCTACTCTTTGACAAAAACAATACAAAAATAAAATGCTTAATTTTGTTTTAATGGACAGTTGTCATAAAGTGAAAATTAAAATCCAATTTTGTTCTTTTTCTTGTTAAAAAAATAATAAAAAAGAAAAGGGCATTATTAGTTTAGTAGAAAACAAAGGGGGGAGTTAAGTAGCTCAAAGCTCAAAAAAGTGGGGTGGAAGTGGGGCGGGGCAAGGGGGTTGGAATCCAAAACGGTCCAACGACGACCCTTATTTTTTGGGATTGCAACCAGTTAAACATACAAAATTTTAGCAAGTGGTCTTTTTTTTATAGTAGTAGAAAAGTGTTGAGTTTTTATATGATTGCGTGGGTTCAAATCTGTTGGTAATTAATCTAACATTTAATTTAACAAAATCTAAAATAAAATTCTAAAAGGGACCCAGCGAACCAATGCTATCCACGTGTTGCCACAGTTTTAACTAGTAACACCGCACTCGATAACAACCGAGCGCATCACACCCCCACTCGTCCTTCGCGAGATTGACGAACCCCTCCGTTTTGAAACCTTCAAAAATTTCACACGTACCACACGAACCCCTCTTGCAAGGGTAAGACAGTAAATTTACTATTCTCCGCGCCACGCTGGAAACTACAATTTTTGGATAATTCCTGCCACGTAACACCATACATGGCAGATCTGATCCTAGTCAGCTCCCAGCTTCTCCTATAAAGTGCCCAAAACCCATCTCACCACTCCTTCACTCTCCCAAAAACCCACCTCCCACTCTCTTCTTCCTCCTCAGCTCACAACCACCACAACCACCGTCGCCGGCTGGAATAGATCGCCGGGAAATGAATATTCCGGCGACCTTGTTACACATATGCATACGAAATGTTCGTATCTCCGATCATCGCCGTCACATTTTCCACGATTATCCATCATCGGAAGTCATACTCTTTTAGCCCAATTTTTTCCGGGAAAACAAATTAACATTGTTCGAGTTTTGAGCATTTTTAGGTAGTGTAAGAGGAGAGTAAATGTGTATGAAAGGAGGAAGCATTAATTTCTGAATTGAGTTGTAGTTTCTGTATAAATTTTCTGTGGATTTTGGTTTTTGAATCCCAAAGTTTAATCAGGCTCTGAAATTAGAGCAGAAAAACTGAGAAATTTGGTAGGACGGTGCGTCAGTGTCTTGGTATTTTGTAGAACCCCAAATATGCCATTTCCGATGAAGATCCAACCGATTGAAATCGATTCCGAGAATTTGATCGAGCCGGCCCGGGTCGACTCGATGAAACCGGTCTTCAAATCGCGGCTCAGAAGGCTCTTTGACCGGCAGTTCCCGAGCGTGCTTAGAATCTCTTCTGCGCAGGAGAAGCCGACCGCTACTGAGCCGCCGTCGCAGCAGCAGAACTACAATACCAGCAAGGATGGAGCAACCGTCGCTGCTGTGGCCGAGTTCGAGCCGAGCTCGGTTTGCTTGGCGAAGATGGTTCAGAATTTCATCGAAGAAAGCAACGAGAAGCAGCCGCCGCCGAAATGTGGCCGGAACCGCTGCAATTGCTTTCACGGTAACAGCAATGACAGCTCCGACGACGAGCTCGATATCTTCGGTGGAGGCTTCGGCGATTCAATCTCCTCCGGTTCGTTCGGTGGCGACGCCTCCGATATTTTAAAGGTATAACACTAAGATAACCGTCGCTTCAATTCCACTTTTTGATTAGTAAATTGTTTTTGCATTTTCTCACGGTTTCCTGGCAACCAAACAGAGAACATGAATATGGATGACTGATTGTTTGCTTAATTATTGTTTATCAGAGTCTGATTCCATGCGTGAGCGTCTCGGAGAGAAACCTCCTGGCTGATACGGCGAGGATCGTCGAAGCAAACAAGAATCTCAAACAAAAAGACGATTTGAGGAAGATCGTCGCCGACGGACTGCAATCCCTTGGCTACGATTCCTCCACCTGCAAATCGAAATGGGAGAAGTCGTCGTCTTTCCCTGCCGGTAATTTAAAATCCCATACTTTCTCAGCATCCAAACAGATTATATAAAAAAATGAAATTAAAAGGTTAAAAAAATAAATAAATTTGGTTGTGGGTTTTGGACTTCAGGTGAGTACGAGTATATCGATGTGATGGTAGAGGGCGACAGGTTGTTGATTGACATCGATTTCCGATCGGAATTTGAGGTCGCTCGATCCACTGGGGTCTACAAAGCCGTCCTCCAATCGCTGCCCTACATTTTCGTCGGAAAATCGGACCGTCTCGGCCAGATCGTCTCCATCGTATCGGAGGCAGCCAAACAGAGCCTGAAGAAGAAAGGCATGCACTTCCCTCCGTGGCGGAAAGCCGAGTACATGCACGCCAAGTGGCTCTCTCCTTACACCCGAAATGCCGTTCACCGTCCCGAAAACGGCACCCTTCCCGCGTCGGAGACCCAAGTGGTAATCTCTGACGCTCCGACCGAGGCCGACAATCTCAGCGATTGCGGTGAACTCGAGTTGATCTTCGGTGAAAGCACATCGCAGCCTGAGAGCCATACTCCAGTCCCGTCGCCGGCCGGGAATTCCGTTCCAGGCGAGAAGGTGGCGGTGGCGGTGGCGTGGCAGCCACCGGCGATAAAGCCGAAGAGCGTTGAGAGAGGGGCGAGGATAGTGACCGGGTTGGCATCGCTGCTCAAGGAGAAACCTTGAGACAAATTTTGGAATTTGTTTTTTAATTTTTTAATTTTCCGGCAAAAAATGGATATAAATATTAAAAAAAAGAAGAAAGAAAATATATAAATGGGAGTT